ACATTTAAATTCATTTTTCTTTTCTTATTTTTAATAGAGAATGAGTATAACACAATTCTGGTAACTAGAGTAGTTGTACAGATAGAAAAATCTTCGCTGAAATACATGGTTTTCATGGTACTTTAACAAAATACTTCTTTCTGGAAGTCAGTTCTGGTTACCAAAATTGTGTTGTGCTCGTTCTCTAATAATATGCAAGCGAATACAGAAACTGAGAATGATATATTCTAGTGACCAGAATGGTTTTGTAGATAGTAAAATCTTCGCTGAAGTACCTGGTTTCCATAGGTCAAGTTGTTTAGCACAGTTGAAGTACGACGATATCGAATTACATTATGACATGCATGTATTACATGAAAAAAAATCCCTAAATTGAAAAATCCCTAAATGAAAATCCCTATTTGGTCACCATTGTAGACTTTAATTGAATAATTATCCACAAATGTGGATTTTATTTAGGGATGAATTTAGGGAACCTGATTTGTGGTAAATGATAGACATTCGTGTAAACGTGTCACAAGTACCATGGAACCACCCATAATAGAAATTTCTTCTGCAAGAAATTCGTTCGATGATCTTCGAGAGCATTACGGACGCCTAGCACAAGCTTGTCCCTCTTGTTCTACTTGATGTCAATGTATATGCGATACAACAACTACATCGATAACAACAACAACATCAACCGCTACAACAACAACAACAACCTCTACAACAACAACAACAACCGAGTCGACGACATCAACGTCGACAACAACATCAACAGAAAGTACAACCTCAAGTAAGTAAAATGAACTACAAATTTAAACAATTATTAAAGAGTAAACTCTATCACCTAACAATTTCCAGTGGCGATCTGAATATTTTCAGATTTGAGTTATTCGTGAATTCTTTACAGAAAATGAAAGTGTACATCGAACACTTGTTACGAAAGCCATGTTATTTATTGTTTTCAATGGCAACAAATTGGATCAAAGACATTTAGATAATTATAGATAGTTTTCATTTTTCGTCCCATACATATTTCAATTATCTTTAGGACTTTATAGATTCATTTTCGAAATTTTCATTGTCTTTCAATAATCGTTCAAACTGAATCTATGAAGTTCTTGTTAAGAATCTGATATATTCTTTTGTAAAAATGAATTATTAGTATATCCTTGATTAGTATCATTCTATGCTCATTTTTTTTTCTCTAAAAATAGCGGCGTGTATATGCCCAAGTACGACACCATCAAGTTCAACGTCAACGAATACCACTTCGTCTTCAACCATAATTACAAATTAAAAAAAAAGAACAATTCGTAATCATAATTAATAGCTTGGATGAAAGTATTTCTGCTTACAGTTCAAATGAAAATAAATAGCTCCTCAGATAATAGAAATATTAAGTCATCAAGCTTATTTTCTATTGGAAATGAAATCATAAAAGTTCAAAAAACATTTACTATTACTTAATTTCTTAATGAACTTTGCTTTCTAATTGATACTTCAATAGAAATATTTTTCTATGTCAAATATTTTCTTATTCTTACAGTAAATATCATTCTCCATAGATAGTTTAATAGTTATTTGACAAAGGTTGTGACATTTAATTCATTAGATTGCACATTTTTTCTTTATATTTGAATAATTATTTAAAGTTGAATAGTTTCCACTATTTTATCGAGCAATTCATATAATTATGTGGCATTCCGATTAGATTAATGATTAATAAATTTATATATATATATATATATAATATTATTATTAGCTACTACGACAACTACAACTACACGCTGCTTTGATAAATGTTGGCACGAAGATTGTAAAACAGGTAATACTACTATAATATGTTGTCCTAGTACGACTTGTTCAACATCATCAACTACAATAAGATCAAGTATTTTATCAACACGAAACT